AATTTAAGTATATTACAAAGTTTGTAACGAGAAAGAATAAACTAGTTTTATTTTAAGAAAGGACTTGTATAGCTAAGGTTTCTCGGAAATCATTTTTACGGGAAATTATCAAACAAGCAAATACGCAACAGTATTAATACTATAAAATTCCATCAATAATCTACCTGGAATGTTCATGTTTCACTTACTATTTTGTAAAATATACGAATCGCTGGTTCGAATCCTCGTCCCACCAAACATGCTCGCCCTTTCAGCCGTGGGGGCGTTGTAATGTGACTATTTGTTGGTAAAAGAGTACCCCAAGAGTTGGTGGTGGGTGATGATGACCAGCTGCCTTTCCTCACTGCTATATTAGGGACGGCTAGCGCAGATAGTCATAGTGTAGATTTGCGTGAAATTCATAACGTACAAACATCTTTTTATGGTATAAAACTGTTTAATCAATTTGATGTACCTCAAAAGGTCATTAGTGTTCTATTAAGGTTTTTCTCATAGTGACTACAAAACACCTTCATATCAACAGTTGTTTGTTTGAGTACCATAGATGATGAATTTTTGTGATTACTATAACCTGAAATTGTTCATTTTGCGTTTTGATTTGTTCTAACATTGCTTTAAATATAATAATAATAATTATATCTTTTGATTGTATTAAATAACAATATTAAATTTTCATGTTGAAAAAACAGTTTAATCAATTTGACTTTCTTCAAAATGTTTCGAAGTAGAATTTGCTAACATGCACCACATTAATACATGCGAGAAAATGAATCTAATGAAACTAATTTTGTGCAAGCGTAATGTTTGTTTGTTTATTAGGCACAAAACTGTATGTTACGTCTCTGTTCGTTTGTTAATTTTCCGTAAAAAATTCTTCCCGAAGAAACTTTAGCGATACAAGTCCTTTCTTAAATAAAACTAGTTTATTATTTCTCAATACAACTTTGCAATACACTTAATTTCCACAGTCACGCTACAACTGAAACAAACGCTATAATTCACAACGAACAAACGATTCACGCGCTTGACTCATTGTCCTCTCTATCTCTGTCTGCAATTCAATTCCATTGTTGCCGTCACTTCTTGGCGGTCTTATATACAAGAATACCGTACATCTAGTAAACACTCGAGCATTCAAGAACCTTCGAGAATATCATGACGTGTTACTAGCGTTACGTGACTTCAGCTGTCGTAACACGGCCCCTTCCTTAGTATTGTTCGTCCCAAACAATAGCCACTTACATTAAACCAATAGATAATTAACAATAACTTAATTAAATGTACAGAATTTACAAACATTACAAACACAAAATTAGAATTCAACAAAGTCTCTTAATTTTACGGGACGTATCTTCTTCCGTACTGGCTTCTGCTTCACGTGAGGTTCATCTGCTTCATCAGGAATTGTCCTGTAATGGTCACCTCAGTGGTAGTAACTTCATCAAGGGGTTCACTGTTTCCCTTCTCAAAACCGAGGAGAGTTTCTTCTTTGACAGTGGCCCTTCCAGGTAACACGTCTTCGGCAGCGTCTTTTGTTCCGTTGTTCACTTCATTCCAACTGCAACGTCCTGGACCATGATAGTTCTCGACCAAACATCAACTTTGCTGGAGTGTATCCAGTGGCTTCATGCTCTGCTGTTCTTCTAGGCCATCAATAGTGGAGGGAGTAAGACATCCCAGTCATCTTGGCAGCTATTACAAAACTTTGCCAATTCCTGTCCCATTGTCCAGTTGTAATTTCTACCATCCCATCAG